CCTATTGGCCACAAAAGATATTCCCCAAAACTCGTTAGCATCGAGTAGCTTTGAGTGGCCACTTGTCCCTTTTCAATTCTTCAGTTTGGGTGAGAGAGTTCGATGGGAACAAATTTCGATTCAATTTATTGGTCCGACTCATTCAGTACTCGCTGTTGGACCTCAATCAAAGTCGAGGTATCACACTTCCTCCCCCAAATTTCGACCTCTAAATTTGTCCCTTACAACTTCTCGGAGCCTCATACTTCGCATCATTTGTCTCTATGTTTGACTCCTTCCTTGTTTTGCTCAAATAATCTTAGCGTTGCTCATGGTCTAACCCTCTCTACTCTTTGGGTCACAATCCTACGGTTGATTTATCGCGAACTCAATGAACCTTCCTTGCATCCTTCCCACTAGATTATGGTCGCCATGTGCCGCATCTCCATGGATACTGCCTATTAATGTACTAAATACTTGGCTTCTTCCTGATCCTTAACTGATCAGCTCACGTCCCCGTACGTTATGAGCTGCCTTGAACCTTTTTTTTCTCATTCATGAAAGGGTTGTCACTAAACGATCCTCTTAGAAATCTTCTCTTCCTCCGTCCTGCGACATATCATCGTCACCCGGGCCTAATAGAGTTATTGCCTAATCATGATTAGAGTATATTGAAGATTCAATAAATCCTTAAAAGAACCCTTGACTCGTTTGGCCAAACCTTTATCCTGACCCCCTTTTCTTTTCCTTTTAAAAGATAAACCTTGAAAAAAAAAACCTCAGATCGTCACTCCAGTATTCCTTGGAGACCAAGAAACAGAGGAGTGCCGGGTCTGATACCAAAATGAAACGACCAGACCTTTTTCAAAAACCAAACCATAACTCAAACCAAAAACCGGTTACTCCGGAGCAACCAAAACCACATTTTAAAATAAACAAACTGACTTTACTTAAGAAATTTAAATGTAAAGCCACAACACCTGGGCAAAATCTCAATCTCAAACATTTAAAACAACTTAACACAGAATCTCCAGTTTATACTAATAACCATGAAACAATAAATTTTAACTATTCTAACTTGACTCCTCACGAGCTTCCTGATATCACGTCAACGATGATATTGCTGCTCGCCTCGCCCTGCTTCACCTCTTGATCCACTTCTGCTAACCCTTCCTCAACCTGGTGAGTGAGATGGGGTCAGTCTCGTCGTTACTTTCTAAGGTCTTTGCCTAAGCAAGCCCTACCAACACATTATTAGAAATTACTTCCTCCTAATGAAAGCCGTTCTCGCTTTCATCCTTAATATTTTAATCTCTGATAGCTTATAGAAGTTTTGTACTTCTATCTTAATTTATATACTTATTATTAGGGTTCACCGCGTTACGTATCGCCGTCCGGTGTCCCTATCCTTAAGGCAATGGTACTGCGTTACGTATCGCCGTCCAGTCCATGCCCGGTCAACTAGTGTGTTACATATTGCCGTCCAGTAGTGACCCGACCATCTACCGCGTCCAGTAGTGGCCCAACCGCCCGGGGGTTCCTCATACCATCAACCATACAAACATGCATTCATACATACCTAAGCACAACGCGTGCCTCCACCTTAAGTAGGCGGTGGGATGCCTCACACACATCATCGCGCTTACTTGAAAATTAAATAACATAACTGAATTAAAAAGGCATAAACTAAAAGACCTCGACGGAGATTTTACCCACTTTACACTCACCTTAACTTCCTGTCGATATGTGGTCTATTTTTGTGGCGTCTCCTCTAGCCTCGATCATCTTTATCTAATCATTAGAAGCTGTATAACTCCCTATCACAAGAAAAAACCCACGTAACTTACGTGGTTGATATAGTAATATCAATTAATCCCATCAATTCATGCGTGACCTCCACTTGTTTTATTTGTTAGAACACATCGTCCATCCCTCTACAGAACCATGTACCTTCCCTTCTTAAAATATGTGACCAACAATCCAACCCATTGCCTTACTAATTACCCACTGTCAATGCAATTCCAATTTTCGTTTCCAAACAACACTTAATAGGCTTCACACCCATCTTACTAAACTCGTAGGAAGGTATACATATATCTATATGTCCCACTAATCCATACTAGTTGCTTATTCACAAGCCTCAAGAGAAGAAAATACTACACCATGTGTGTTCATGCATGGATGGAATTTACAATGATTCTGGGTCCCTTCCGTTATAAAGACTCGGTACCATTTCTCAGCTTAACCCTCACCCAGAATCGCACCATTGACGTTATCCCGCAAATCAACATTGATACTCAAATTTAATAATTAATCGTTACCTCCAATAGAGACAAAGCTCCCAGCTGCGCTCTCCCCGCCATTAGCGACGACCATTCTTCCAGTTTCCGATCAACAACCTGACGACACTTCCTCGGCTTTCGCCCAATACGAGTCCGGTGGTCAACCCCCAACTGACTAGGTCCCACCTTCCGGTCCACCAGTGCCGCCACCTCCGGAAATTCGAGCTCCTCGATCGGAATCGCCATCCTCGTGGACGAGCTCGAATGAACCAGAGAAGGAGTCGTGGGATTTCACCCTTCCCGAGCGGCGGAAAATGTTTTCTATTCCTTCAACTTAATAGATATATATACCCCTAACCTTAACCATTAGAAACCTAACGTAATTCCAATTGTAATTATTATAATTATTATGTCTAATAACCCCAATAACCGACGGCATGGCAATTCTAGAGTTTCTTGCGTTGATCTTGCCACTAATTAACAATGTGGTTGGTCTTGTTTTAGTTCACATACTAACCATTGAACCAAATCCATAAATTTATGATGGTTGAACCTAAACCCAAAAGTCGGGATGTGACATTTTCTCCACCCTTATAAAAATTTCGTCCCCGAAATTTGATCTGACTTATCCTTCCATACTCCTCATTCCCGTGCTCCCTTGGCTCAAAAAATTCACTCTTGATATATGACCCTCGATGGTGTCCGTTGCTTGACCCATGTTGTCCACCTCACTTATTATTTTTTTTTCCTATTGGCCACAAAAGATATTCCCCAAAACTCGTTAGCATCGAGTAGCTTTGAGTGGCCACTTGTCCCTTTTCAATTCTTCAGTTTGGGTGAGAGAGTTCGATGGGAACAAATTTCGATTCAATTTATTGGTCCGGCTCATTCAGTACTCGCTGTTGGACCTCAATCAAAGTCGAGGTATCACACTTCCTCCCACAAATTTCGACCTCTAAATTTGTCCCTTACAACTTCTTGGAGCCTCATACTTCGCATCATTTGTCTCTATGTTTGACTCCTTCCTTGTTTTGCTCAAATAACCTTAGCGTTGCTCATGGTCTAACCCTCTCTACTCTTTGGGTCACAATCCTACGGTTGATTTATCGCGAACTCAATGAACCTTCCTTGCATCCTTCCCACTAGATTATGGTCGCCATGTGCCGCATCTCCATGGATACTGCCTATTAATGTACTAAATACTTGGCTTCTTCCTGATCCTTAACTGATCAGCTCACGTCCCCGTACGTTATGAGCTGCCTTGAACCTTTTTTTTTTCTCATTCATGAAAGGGTTGTCACTAAACGATCCTCTTAGAAATCTTCTCTTCCTCCGTCCTGCGACATATCATCGTCACCCGGGCCTAATAGAGTTATTGCCTAATCATGATTAGAGTATATTGAAGATTCATTAAATCCTTAAAAGAACCCTTGACTCGTTTGGCCAAACCTTTATCCTGACCCCCTTTTCTTTTCCTTTTAAAAGATAAACCTTGAAAAAAAAAACCTCAGATCGTCACTCCAGTATTCCTTGGAGACCAAGAAACAGAGGAGTGCCGGCTCTGATACCAAAATGAAACGACCAGACCTTTTTCAAAAACCAAACCATAACTCAAACCAAAAACCGGTTACTCCGGAACAACCAAAACCACATTTTAAAATAAACAAACTGACTTTACTTAAGAAATTTAAATGTAAAGCCACAACACCTGGGCAAAATCTCAATCTCAAACATTGAAAACAACTTAACACAGAATCTCCAGTTTATACTAATAACCATGAAACAATAAATTTTAACTATTCTAACTTGACTCCTCACGAGCTTCCTGATATCACGTCAACGATGATATTGCTGCTCGCCTCGCCCTGCTTCACCTCTTGATCCACTTCTACTAACCCTTCCTCAACCTGGTGAGTGAGATGGGGTCAGTCTCGTCGTTACTTTCTAAGGTCTTTGCCTAAGCAAGCCCTACCAACACATTATTAGAAATTACTTCCTCCTAATGAAAGCCGTTCTCGCTTTCATCCTTAATATTTTAATCTCTGATAGCTTATAGAAGTTTTGTACTTCTATCTTAATTTATATACTTATTATTAGGGTTCACCGCGTTACGTATCGCCGTCCGGTGTCCCTATCCTTCAGGCAATGGTACTGCGTTACGTATCGCCGTCCAGTCCATGCCCGGTCAACTAGTGTGTTACGTATCGCCGTCCAGTAGTGACCCGACCATCTACCGCGTCCAGTAGTGGCCCAACCGCCCGGAGGTTCCTCATACCATCAACCATACAAACATGCATTCATACATACCTAAGCACAACGCGTGCCTCCACCTTAAGTAGGCGGTGGGATGCCTCACACACATCATCGTGCTTACTTGAAAATTAAATAACATAACTGAATTAAAAAGGCATAAACTAAAAGACCTCGACGGAGATTTTACCCACTTTACACTCACCTTAACTTCCTGTCGATATGTGGTCTATTTTTGTGGCGTCTCCTCTAGCCTCGATCATCTTTATCTAATCATTAGAAGCTGTATAACTCCCTATCACAAGAAAAACCCACGTAACTTACGTGGTTGATATGTAATATCAATTAATCCCATCAATTCATGCGTGACCTCCACTTGTTTTATTTGTTAGAACACATCGTCCATCCCTCTACAGAACCATGTACCTTCCCTTCTTAAAATATGTGACCAACAATCCAACCCATTGCCTTACTAATTACCCACTGTCAATGCAATTCCAATTTTCATTTCCAAACAACACTTAATAGGCTTCACACCCATCTTACTAAACTCGTAGGAAGGTATACATATATCTATATGTCCCACTAATCCATACTAGTTGCTTATTCACAAGCCTCAAGAGAAGAAAATACTACACCACGTGTGTTCATGCATGGATGGAATTTACAATGATTCTTGGTCCCCTCCGTTATAAAGACTCGGTACCATTTCTCAGCTTAACCCTCACCCAGAATCGCACCATTGACGTTATCCCGCAAATCAACATTGATACTCAAATTTAATAATTAATCGTTATCTCCAATAGAGACAAAGCTCCCAGCTGCGCTCTCTCCGCCATTAGCGACGACCATTCTTCCAGTTTCCGATCAACAACCTGACGACACTTCCTCGGCTTTCGCCCAATACGAGGCCGGTGGTCAACCACCAACTGACTAGGTCCCACCTTCCGGTCCACCAGTGCCGCCACCTCCGGAAATTCGAGCTCCTCGATCGGAATCGCCATCCTCGTGGACGAGCTCGAATGAACCAGAGAAGGAGTCGTGGGATTTCACCCTTCCCGAGCGGCGGAAAATTTTTTCTATTCCTTCAACTTAAGAGATATATATACCCCTAACCTTAACCATTAGAAACCTAACGTAATTCCAATTGTAATTATTATAATTATTATGTCTTATAACCCCAATAACCGACAGCATGGCAATTCTAGAGTTTCTTGCGTTGATCTTGCCACTAATTAACAATGTGGTTGGTCTTGTTTTAGTTCACATACTAACCATTGAACCAAATCCATAAATTTATGATGGTTGAACCTAAACCCAAAAGTCGGGATGTGACAGTTTATACTTGGGCCTTAGGTAGGATTTTATTGTGATAGTCGGAGCGGGTCAAGTTTTTGGCACCGTTGCCGATTTGATCTGTTATCTTGAAAAGCTTTTTTGGTGTTATTCTAGCTTTTATTTTCAGTTTTGCTAAGTGTGAACTGTTGTTTGTGCTAGACGTGTTGTGTTCTTTAAGTGTGTGCAAGGAGGTGTATGACCCGGAGCAATCCGACGCCTTTAACACCACTGTACGAGAACATCAACCGGACTCTCCGACTTTTAGCTCGAGAGAGGGAGTTAGCGGAAGCAAGAAGGAGAATTGAAGAAAGGGGACAACAAGTTGGTCCCGAATTAGAAAGAATTGAAGGAGAAGTTGAAGTTGAGATGGCGGGGAATCAACTTCTAGATGCTAATCCACTTCTAAACCAAAATGAGGAAGCGCGAGCCGAGGAAGAGCCAAGGACTATGGGCTATCACATGGCTCCACAGGTGGCGGATATCCAATCTCTCATCTGACATCCTCCCGTAGCCGCCAACAACTTTGAAATCAAGCCCGCTCTCCTGAGTCGTGACGATGATTCAAAACAACGCCTTGTTCCACAGGCTTGCCAATGAATCACCACAAGAGCATGTCCAAAGGTTTCTTGAGCTTGCGGGAAGCTTGAAGATAAATGGCATCCCCGAGGAGGCATTGCAACTAAGACTATTCCCCTATTCTTTGGCTGGGGAAGGCGCTTCGATGGCTCAACAACCGTCTGGCTCGATCCATCACCTCTTGAGACGATTTACTCAACAAGTTCATGACCCGGTATTTTCCTCCTTCCAAGACGGCCGAGTGGAGTAAGATCACTCACTTTGAGCAAGAGGAAGATGAGACGTTGAGGGATGCATGGGAAAGATTCTCCGACTACTTCCTTCAATGCCCTCACCATGGATTCGAGGAGCAATTTCGGATAGAGACTTTCTATGGCGGTCTCATTCAATATGATAAGATTCTCATCGACTCTCTTTGCCAAGGGAAGTGGATGAACATGACCCCACCTCAAGTGACCGAGTTGCTCGAAGATATGTCTCTCAAAGGATATGATTGGGGCTTGACAAGAAGTGGTAAGAGAAGCACCTAAAGAGGAGAGCGAATTGTGGGAACAAGTGCTCCTCTTGAAGCAAATTGACAAGTTCATCGAGGTGATCCTTGACGACAAGAAGCAAGGAAAGAAAGAGGTGAAATCTTGTGAGTGGTGTTCAAGCACTAATCATGAAATAGCGGATTTCCAAGCGATGAAGGAGACAAGTACCCCCGAGGAGCAAGTGAGTTTCATTGCCAATGCTAGAGGGAACAACCCTTATAGCAACACCTACAACCCTGGTGGCGCAATCATCCAAACTTCGCTTGGTCTTCCCTTCCAATCCAAGACCTCTCGGTCTCCAAGGTCCAACAGGAAACTATTAACCTCAGCCAACTATCATCCAACAAAGGCCTCAATTCCAAAACTCAAACTTTCAACAACCATACCAAGCTCAAGGTGGTCAAGGGTTCCAACAACAACAACAAGTCGACAAGTTTTCTAAACTTGAAGATCTAGACACCACCTTTGTGAGTACAAGCTCTTAGAAGTTAGAGAAGATTGAGCAATTTATGGATGTGGCAACCTCCAAGTTTACCTCGGTTGAGGCGGGACTCCGAAGTCATCAAGCAACTCTCCGGAATTTGGAAGTGCAAATCGGCAATCTTGTCGGGATCCTCACCGAGAGACCAAAGGGAGACCTACCCTCTCAAACCGTTACCAACCTCAAGGATCATGCCAGGGTGAAGGCAACTCAATTAAGGAGTGGAAGGTGACTCCAGAGGTCATTGCCAAAGAAGTGAATGAGAAGGAAAACCCTTTACCCGAGGGTAGAGAAGAAGAAACCTTGGGAGAAAATAGAGGAGTGGAAAGGAAGGCATTGCCAACGCCACCTCTTGTGGCTAAGTACATGCCACCCCTACCTTTTCCCACGAGGGTGCACAAGGAAAGACTGGAAGTGGAATGTGGAGGTTTCATGGAGATGCTCCGAAAGCTCCACCTCAATATTCCCTTCTTTGAAGCAATGGCCCACATGCCAAGGTATTCAAAATACCTCAAGGGACTTCTCTCCAAGAAGCTGAAGTTCGAAGACCTCGCCAATGTCACCATAGGCGAGAAGTGCTCAGCCTTCATCCTCAACAGGTTGCCCAAGAAGCAACCCGATCCAGGTAGTTTCACCATACCTCTTTGCATCGGTACTCATCACATAGAAAATTCCTTGGCGGGGGCGAGCATAAATGTGATGCCATTTAAGCTTTGTAAGAGGCTAGAAATAGGTGAACTAAAGACTACGAGGCTTGGTGTCACATTGGCCAATCGATCAATCATTAGTCCTAGGGGTATTGTGAAGGATGTGCTAGTACGAGTGGGGAAATTTAGCTATCCGGCGGATTTTGTGATCCTGGATATAAGTGAGGATTCTGAGATGCCACTCATACAAGGACGCCATTTCCTTGCCAGCGCCAAGTCATTAATTGATGTAAATGATGGAACTTTTATTCTGAGGGATAGTGAGGAGAGAATTACTCTTGGAATTGAACCTAAGCCTAGAAGTGAGGATGTGAAGAAAGTGGAACCGGATAATATGAATGCAAGTGGAGGAGAACTGACACGTCCTGTCTCTTTTCAAAAACCAAACCATAACTCAAACCAAAAACCGGTTACTCGGGAGCAACCCAAACCACATTTTAAAATACACAAATCGACATCATTTAAAAAGTTTAACGAAAAGCCCCAACACTTGGGCAAAATTCTCAATCTCAAACACTTAAAACGACTTAACACAGAATCTCCAGTTTATACTAATAACCATGAAACAGAATAATTAACTAATCTAACTTGACGACATCACATTTCCCCCCTCCTTAAGAAAAATTTCGACCTTGAAATTTGTTCGTTGTGACGATTCCAAGTTTCACTTGTGATACTCTCTTTGCAAGGAGTTGTACCTCCTTCTAGCCTTGATGTATTGTTCTCATGACATCTTGTTAGGCTCCCTATGATATACTTAGTTCTTCCTTTGCTTGCTTAGGTGGCCCTAGTATTTTTCAAAGTCTAACTTACAGCTGCTCCTTGGGGTTGTAGCCCTATGTTCAATTCTCCTGAACCCATGACCCTTCCTTGCACCCTTTCCTCTCAATTATGGCGACATTTGCCATACCTCCTTGGCTCTACTAGTCGATGTACTAATTGCTTGGCTCCTTCCGGAACCTTATTCTGATCAGCTCACATCCCCACAGAATATGAGCTACCTTGACCCTCCTCTTCTCACTCATGAAGGGGTTTCACTAAACGATCCCTCTAGGAACCTGCTCTTTCTCCTTCCCAAGACGTATCATAACCCCATGGGGAATCCTAAAGTTATTTACTTATCATGATTAGAGTATACTGGAGATTCTAAAAATTTCCGAAAGACTCTGACTCGTTTGGCCAAACTTTTAACTGACACCCCTTTTTTCCTTTCCTTTTAAAAACTGAAACCTTGAAAAACACAGATCGTCACTCCAGTATTCCTTGGAGGCCAAGGAACAGAGGAGTGCCAGCTCTGATACCAAAATGACACGTCCCGTCTCTTTTCAAAAACCAAACCATAACTCAAACCAAAAACCGGTTACTCCGAAGCAACCCAAACCACATTTTAAAATAAACAAAACGACATCATTTAAGAATTTTTAACGAAAAGCCCCAACACATGGGCAAAATTCTCAATCTCAAACACTTAAAACGACTTAACAGAGAATCTCTAGTTTAAACTAATAACCATGAAAATGAATAATTAACTAATCTAACTTGACTCCCACGAGCTTTCCGATATCCCGACGACACTGGTACTGCTGCTCGCCCCGCCCTGCTTCTTCTCATGATCCACTTCTGCTAGACTATCCTCAACCTGGTGAGTGAGAAGGGGTCAGTCTCGTCGTTACTTCCTAAGGTCTTTGCCCTAGGCAAACTCCTTACTAAACACATTATTAGGGGAATGCCTTCCTTAGACGAAAGTCGTTCTCACTTTCATCCTTTAAACTTTACTATCAAATAGTCTATAAGAGATCTCTACTCCTATCTTATCTTAATAATTTTTCTTACTTATACCCTTAATCCAAAGACACCAACATAAGGGACCACCGCGTTACGTCTCGCTGTCCGGTGTCCCTACCCTAGTATGCCAACCGCATTACGTTTCGCCGTACGCTTGCATGCCCAAACTTGGCAATGGCACTGCGTTACGTCTCGCCGTCCATTCCATGCCCATCAACTACTGCATTACGTCTCGTCGTCCAGTAGTGACCAAACATACTCGATCGACTGTTGCATTACGTCTCGTCGTCCAGCAGTGACCCGACCATCTACCGCGTCCAGTAGTGGCCCAACCGCCCGGGGGTTCCTCTTACCATTAACCAACTTTTACAATCATACATCCATACATTCATACATAGCACAACACGTGCCTCCACCATTACAGGCGGTGGGATGCCTCACACACATATCGCAAATTTACTCAAAAATTAATTAATTAATAACTTGAACGAAAAGCATAAACTAAAAGACCTGCGACAAAGATTTTACCCCCTTTACACTCACCTCTTTAGTCGCATCAACGTGTGCATTCTCCCGCTCAAGCCGCGTGCGTTTTTCCTCTTTTGGCTCCTCCTCTATCGATTCATCGCCTTCCTCTTCAATGACCCTAAC